GCTCCTCAGTGCGCCCACAGAGAAAAGCAGTCAGTCACTCCCGTCTCCCTGGTCTCTGGCTGCACTCCATGCTCACCCGGCCTGTGACCGAGCGTTTCTATCTCTGGCACCTGATCCTGTGTGGAGTCTCCAAAGCCAGCAGATCCCTGCCATGCACTCCCACGCCACTCCTCCTGGGGGAGGAAGGGGAGTCTCCCTGATCTGCCGCTTGTTGGGTCCCTGCTGGAGGAGCAGGGGACTGACTGTGCCACGGATCACAGTTTATGGCAACCCCGAGCTGAGAGCCCGCGCCTCGGCTCCGTCTCTGCAGCCAGCTTCCATGCTCCGATACCTGGGAGCTCTGCCACACTCAGGCACCCCCGGTCTTTCTGTGACCCCGAGGGTCCTGAGACCACACTGTCCCACGAGGGTTCCATCCCCCGCTTAGCCACCAGAGCCGACTTCTAAAGTTCCGACTTTGTGCTCCACGTCTCTATCACTTGCCAGAAGCGGCCGACGGAGGCCCCCGCCCCCACTGTCTATCCTCCCGAATATCACCTCGGATTCACTTCTCTGCACGTCCTACCTTCCAGAAAGTGATTGCTTTTCTGTTCAGAGAGTTGTTGGTATTCTTTTCTTTGATCTCCTATTGAGTTCGTAGGTGTTCAGAATGGTTTGATCCCTATCCAGCTGAATTCCTGAGACCAGACGAAATCTAGGTCTCCTACTTCTCCGCCATCTTGCTCCGCTCCCCCCAATTAAGAGACTCTTAATCACAGAAAACATACTGAGGGGTGCTGGAGGGGAGGGATATGGAGGGATAGGGTAATTAGGTAATAGATATTAAGGCGGGCACGTGATATAATGAGCATTGGGTATTATATAAGAGTGATGAATCACTGATCTCTACTTCTGAAACCAATAATACATTATATGTTAATTATTTGAGTTTAAATAAAAAATATTAAAAAATAAGTTAAAAAAAGGGAAAAAATTAAAAAATAAAAGTTATTCATCTGAGAGAGAGAGAGAGCAGGAGGGGGAAGGGTCAGAGGAAGAGGGAGAAGCAGACTTCCTGCTGAATAGGGAGCCTGCTGTGGGGCTTGATCCCAGGACCCTGAGATCATGACCTGAGCCAAAACCAAGAGTCAGACGCTTAACTGACTGAGCGACCCAGGCGCCCCTGTTCTAAACATTTTTGTCTTCATTCTGCTCCTTTTTGTTTCTCCCCTACCCTCACCCCTGTGTGTGTGTGTCAATCATACAAACTATGAACCTCTGCTTCACACTTCTAACATCTCTCTCCCTTTCACCAACCACATCCCATCAGCCCTACCCCTTTATCACCAGTACAGTTCCTTCATAAAGACCCTTATCATCTGGACCTTGGCAGCAGCCTCTAAATTTTATTTCTGCCCCTGGTTTTTCTTTCCCCAGCATGTGTTTCCTCAGTGTTTTCAGAGTAGACTAGTCATTGTCTACAGGATAAAAGTACCGATCTGTATCTATCTATCTATCTATCTATCTATCTATCTATCTATCTAGTAGGCTCCACACCCAACATGGGGCTTGAACTCATGACCCTGAGATCAAGAGTTGCATGTTCTATTGACTAAGGCACCCAGGTGTCCCAGAATAAAGGAATCTTAAAATGCTCACCAATAACTGGTAGGTGGCTCTGCAGGTCCTGGATTTCCTTTTCTTCAAGTCTGAACCCAGTATTCCATAGAACATTTTTTAGGTCACTGACACTAACCCTTCCTCCTTAATAAGAACAGGAAAAAGTAAATAAGGATGTCACAGATGAAAAATGCAGGCCATCAACCCTACCTAGAAATGAAAGTAAAAAGAAGCTCTTTACAGCAAGTTGTATGGGAATGGGGAGTGATGCCTAATGGGTACAGTATCTTTTTGGGGTGATGAAAATGTTCTAAATTGATTGTAATGATGGTTATGCAACTGTATTAATACACTAAAAACCAGTACACTTTAAATGGGTGAATTGCATGTTATGTAAATTACATTTCAATAAACTGTTGTAAAAAATACAACATAATAAAGTAAAAATGTAAATAACCAACGGGGAAAATATTTTCTGTAGCTATGACAATTGTGTTAATATCTTTAATTTATAAAGAGGTCATTCAGATTAATAGGAAAAAGCTTGGATTCTGATAGGATAATGGGCAAAAGGCAGGAACAAATAATTAAAAGACTGAAAGACAATGATACAAAAATAGTTTTAACTTCACTGATAACGAAAAATTCAACACTAATTAGATTCCATTTTTCATTTATCAAATTGGCAAGGATAAAAAAATGTGAAAATAATTTATTGTGGCCAGGGCATAATGGGAACCAGTACTTTTATCCACTTATATATATATATATATATCACAGCCTTAAACATGTTAAGATTTACTGGATTTACCAGAAGAATTTATCCTTAGAAAATGGCTTAAAGTCGGACAAAGATCACAGATATATAAGAGCAAAACATTGGAGACAAGCTAAGTGTTCAATAAGAAAGGAACGACTAAGTAAACTATAAATACAACCTGATGATAGAGTCATTAAAAATGGTGTTTATAAAGAATGACATGGTGGAATTCTTACAGTAAAATTTTAGGATTGGGGTGCCTGGGTGGCTCAGTTGGTTGGGCGACTGCCTTCGGCTTGGGTCATGATCCTGGGGTCCCGGGATCGAGTCCTGCATCAGGCTCCCTGCTCGGCAGGGAGTCTGCTTCTCCCTCTGCCCCTCCCCCCTCTCGTGCTCTCTCTCTCTCTCTCTCTCAAATAAATAAATAAATAAATAAAATCTTTAAAAGAATAAAATAAAATTTTAGGATTAAATATAGGATACATAAAATATACAGTAAGAGTTTAATTATCTAAATACACATATACACAGAAAAAAAGAATACAGAGAACTGTAATAAAAAAAGGTAATATTACCTGGGATTATGGGTAATTGCATTTTTTTTTCTGTATGCTACTTTATATATTCCAGATTTTTCTCAAATACCCAACAGACAGTAGAGACTTGGGTATTTGTTGAATAAATGCATACGTAATTTCCTTATTATTTACATAATCAGAAAAAACAGTTATAAGAATCTCAGATTTTCTTGTCCTTATCCTTTTTCTTACTCACCTTTGAAAGATTTCACACCCTCCAGTAATGCTTTCTCAAACACCTTTCTATCAGCTGTAAGATAAAACATTGTTGAGTTTTTGACGATTCATAGAAATTAAAGTGTTTACTTTCAGAAAGGGGAAATTCAGAAGTTTATCACAATTCATTCTCAATGAAATGAGACATATTCAGAAAACTCAGTGTCGTGACTATCCCTGGACAGAACACAAGGCTATTGTGTGGCTGGTTTGCTGAAATACACACAGCTTTTTCTTTTTCTTTCTTTCTTTTTTTTATTATTATGTGATGTTAATCACCACACATTACATCATTAGTTCTGGATGTAGTGTTCCACGATTCATTGTTTTCATGTAACACCCAGCGCTCCACGCAGCACGTGCCCCCTTGAATACCCATCACCAGGCCAACCCATCCCCCACCCCCTCCCCTCTAGAACCCTCAGCTTGTTTTTCAGAGTCCATCGTCTCTCATGGTTCGTCTCCCCCTCCGATTTCCCTCCCTTCATTCTTCCCCTTCTGCTATCTTCTTTTTTTTTCTTCTTCTCATTTTCTCCTTCCCAGTTTTACTTCATCTTTTCTTTGTTCAGCTTTCCTGCCCTTCTGCCCTTTCATCTTCTTCTAGCTTAGACTTTAGATTTCCCTGAAAGGGACAAAAGAAATTGTCCTATCATGTGACCTCTGACTGAAGAGGTCCCAGCTCCCGGACCAAAATTTAAACGATAAGAACAGGATTTTTTAAAATGCTAGGATTGAGTCTTTTAAAAAAATATTTTAAATTGACATAAAATGTTTCAAACAGTAGAATTTCTTTTTTTTTAAAGTAAGATTTATTTATTTTAGAGAGAGAGAGAGCACATGAGTAGGGGGAGGGGCAGAGGGAGAGGGAGAAAAGAGAATCCTCAAGCAGACTCCCCTCTGAGTGTGGAGCCTGACTTGGGGCTCGATCCCAGGACCCCGAGATCATGACCTGAGCTAAAACCAAGAGTCGGCCGCTTAACTGACTGAGCTACTCAGATGCCCCAAACAGCAGAATTTCTTTTTCTTTCTTTCTTTTTTTTTTTTTTTTAGATTTTATTTATTTATTTGACAGAGAGAGACACGGCGAGAGAGGGAACACAAGCAGGGGGAGTGGGAGAGGGAGAAGCAGGCTTCTCCGGAGCAGGGAGCCTGATGCGGGCCTCGATCCCAGGACCCTGGGATCATGACCTGAGCTGAAGGCAGACACTTAACAACTGAGCCACACAGGCACCCCTAGAATTTCTAATACAAAACCTGAAAAGAAACCTTCTGTGTAGTTTTGAGGACTTGAGGAGACATGGTCACTGCAGACATGGTCCCTGTTCTCCCAGAGTTTAGGATAGTGCCATGCACACAACAGATCTTTAATAAATGTTGAATGAGTAAGCTTTTAGATATCGGTGAAGTAGAACTTCAATGCTTACCGGAAACTGGCAGAGTTTTCAGAAGCTTCTTATGTTCCTTGTTTGTGATCTTTACTCCCATGTCTTTCAGAACATTTTTCAGGTCCTCAATAGGAATCTTCTCTCCTTTAGAAAGAAATACATATACGTAAGGAAACATCCTTCCCAGGTAGGGTTGTGAGGATGAACTAGGCATAATGAAGCCTTGTTTAGCTATTCAGAATCAAGGTGGTGGTCGGGGGGGAGTCAGAAATTCTTTTAACCTAAGAGGATATCTTCAATGATAAGATGATACCATATATAATAAGTAAAGCAGGGATTATATAATTTCTTAGTGATTTAGCTGTGTTTGATGGCTAACAATTCAACCACAAATATAACATCTGTGTTCTTTTCTCTCTTTTTTTCCTCTTGTTCTTCTTCCCTCTTCTCATTCCCTTCCTCTGGGCCTCCCTGCCCTCTTCCCCTTCCTCTTCTTCTTTTACCTGAATTATGGGACTAGTTTTAAAAATGATAATAAAAGCTGGCTCTCTGTAAAAACTTTCGCCTTGAGTAAATTAATATTTACATGATTTACACTGTAAGCTGGGCATATCAGATAGGGGATAGATTTGAAATCACATTTTTAAAAATCTGCTGAAAAGAAAGTATAGAAACCGTAAGAACAAGAAATCAGGGAAAAGAATGGGCTAATCTGGAAAAGAATTAAAAACAATATCTAGAAATAAAAATATAGTTATTGCAATTAAAATCCCAACAGACAAATAGCACAAGACACAGTTGTAGAGACAGTGAACTGGAAGAGAGGTTTAAGAAAAGACAAAAACATAAAAATAGGGAAAATATGAAAAGAAAGATATGAAGAGCAAAATGAGAAGGTTCAACATACATGAACTAGGAGTTTCCAAAAGTGAGAAAAGAGAAAAAAAGAGAAAAGGCAATAGTTGAAACATGAGCTCTGAGAGTTTCCAAAACTTGGTGAGAGGCATAAATGTTCAATTTCAGGAATCACAAGTTCCAAGCAGGAAAAATGAAAACAAGTCTACACTTGGCCACATGAGAATGAGAATTTCAAAGATAGAGATAATCTTAAGAGTAACAAGAGAAAAAGAGAGTAATTCTAAACAATGAAGACTTATAGCTGACTTTTTTTTTTTAAAGATTTTATTTATTTATTTGAGAGAGAGAGAATGAGAGATAGAGAGCACGAGAGGGAAGAGGGTTCAGAGGGAGAAGCAGACTCCCTGCCAAGCAGGGAGCCCGATGTGGGACTCAATCCTGGGACTCCAGGATCATGACCCGAGCCGAAGGCAGTCTCTTAACCAACTGAGCCACCCAGGCGCCCCTTATAGCTGACTTTTAACAGCATAAAGAGAGGCCAGAAAACTGTGTGTATATGAATCTATCATCTTTCTGTCTATATTCGTGTGTATTTTCTTCTTTCTCCTTTTTTCCCCTTTTAAATTTAATTACAAGTTTATTATAGGTTAACCTTACAAGTTGGTCTTCAGGTTACAGAATATTCAGATGGGACTGTAACTAAATTTGAGAACTAACATAGCCCAGAGATAGTATGACTGTCTCCCACAGATAGACTGTTGGAACTTTGCTTCTCCTCATTCTGGGGAGAGAAAGGGGACATCTTCATTTGTATGAAGGGAACACAGAGTTGTTTTGTTGTTATATGGAAGTTAAGTTCAAATATGTGTAGAAGGGTCCACAGCAGAACAGCCAAGAAGGTAGACTATTTCAGTGATTTAATGATTACCTCTCAGCTCCAATTCCACCCTTCTAAACTCTGCTTTGTGATGCTGAGGCCAGGACTCTAGACCACATTTCTCTCTGGATAGCTGGTTCCATATCAAACTCTGCCAGTGGGTGGGAGGTGGGAGGGGGGAGAGAGAGAGACTGAAATGTCAGATGAAGTTCCTTACCGTAGCAATAGATGAATCCAGTTTCAGTTTTTCAACCTTGTGGAACCAGTGTCATTACACTCCTCAGAGATACTAGCAGCACCCTTCAGAGTTCTAAGGTAGAATGATAATCTACAAGTGTAGACATAGTCAAAGAATGACTCAAGGCTGAGTGTAAAATAAAAGATATTTTCAAAGACTAACCCTTGTTGAAATGACCAAGAGGGATGTACTTCAAGAAGAATGAAACTGAACCCAAAAAAGAGTAAAAGTAAAAAGCAATGGTGAACAAAGAGAGTGGTAAGTGTATTTAAGTTTTGCGAAAGATTGGATTGAAATTGCTCTGCCCTTGCTTTCAATATACTCACTTGGCAAAAGCTCATTCCTGTTTAAATACAAGTTTGTGCTTACTCTGTGCCTGCAGCAAGGCAGCTGAACTAGAGTTGAAGTGTATTGTGCTGACTGTTCTCATTTTAAATGGATGATCATGAACCTCAGGTGAGTCCTTGATTCTGCTGGGCAACCACACTACACTTTGCTGATGTATTAACTTTCCTGTTCTTCTTGCTGACTACTTCACTTCTTCTTCTTCTTTTTTTTTTTTTAAATCACCACTTCCTCTTCTTCCATTTGGTCAAAAATTCTTTTAGCTCTTTAATTAAAAAACCCAAAGCTTTCTCTTGACAACTTTCATCAGTTTACATGCCTCTTTGTTCCACTTCTTTGATCCCCTTTGCAGCAAAATTTCTCAGATATTCACTGTTTCTAAATCCTGTCTTCCCATTTTCTCTTTTTTAAAAAAATTTTCATTTAAATTCCATTTAGTTAGCATATACCGTATTATTAGTTTTAGGGGTAGAGTTTAGTGATTCATCAGTTGCATATAACACCCAGTGCTCATTACACCAAGTTCCCTCCCAATGCCCATCAACCAGTACCCCATCTCCCACCTCCCCTCCAGCAACCCTCAGTTTGTTCCTTAGAGTTAAGAGTCCCTTACAGTTTGCCTCCTTCTCTGTTTTTATCCTATTTGGTTTTTCCTTTCTCTCCCCTATGTTCATCTGTTTTGTTTCTTAAATTCCATATATGAGTGAAATAATGATATTTATCTTTCTCTGCCTGACTTATTTTGCTTAGCATAATACCCTCTGGTTCCATCCACATTGTTGCAAATGGCAAGATTTCATTCTTTTTGATGGCTGAGTAATATTCCATTGTGTGTGTGTGTGTGTGTGTGTGTGTGTGTGTGTGTGTATACATATATATAATATATATATATTATATATACACACCAGATCTTCTTTATACATACAATGGACATCTGGGCTCTTTCCATATTTTCTATATTTTGGCTATTGTGGACATTGCTGCTATAAACATTGGAGTGCAGGTACCTCTCCGAATCACTATGTTTGTGTCCTTTGGATAAATACCTAGTAGCGCAATTGCTGGGTCGTAGGGTGGCTCTATTTTTACCTTTTTGAGGAATCTGAATACTGTTTTCCAGGGTGGCTGCACCAGTTTACATTACCACCAAGAGTATAAGAGGGTTCCCCTTCCTCCACATCCTTATCAACATCTATTGTTTCCTTAGTTGTTCATTTTAGCCATTCTGACTGGTGTGAGGTGGTATCTCATTGTGCTTTTGGTTTGGATTTCCTTTCCCATTTTCTCTTAAACTCACTACAGTCAGGCTTCTTTCCACCTTCAATCACCTGAAACTTCTCTTTTTGATATCACTAATGGTATTTTGTGATTTGAGATCATTAATGTGGCTATATGCAATGGTCACTTCTCAGGTCTTATCTTAGTTGACTTATTGATCTATTTGACTGTTGATTTGCCCTCCTGGCTGATACTTGTAGCAGATATTATAGATGCCCTGATCATATCTCTTCAACCCTTACCAGTTCGATGCATGCTAGCCCAAGTTTCAATTGCTGGTATCTCTTTGTCTGAGGGATTTCTTTGGTTGCCAGAGTTCACTCCGCTAATGCTCAATGGCTGGAAATGCCAGTGGAGTAATATTGCCTCCCTCCCCTTGAGCACTTCTCAACCAATGACTGATAGGGGTTGGTGTAAAAATAACCTAGCTCTCCCACTCCCCCGAGGTTGTGTTCTATACCATTTCCCAGATATTCTCCAATGGGATTAAGTTTCAGTTACCTTCTTGGTAACTTGCCTGATAAACACATACTTTATTTGCTGCCTTCATTCATGTCTCACTTCCCTACTCCCCTATCTGTGTTTCCTGGGCTCACCTCCCATGTAAACTACCTGTATACATGCTCCTTGTCTCAGGGTTTCTGTCTGGGCGAAACCAACCTAATATACTTATTTGGTTTTCAGGACACCATATTCTTTTGGTTTTCTACTTACTTTACTGGTCACTTCTTCTTGGTCTCTTTTCCTTTAACATTTAATGTTTAAGTCCTCCAGGATTACTTCTTAGTTCTCTTTCCTTCTCCATATATATTCACCCCTTGGGTGAATTCATTCAATCTCACGGCTTTAAATACCATCTATATGCCTATGGCTTTCAAGTTTATATTTTTAGCTAAGATATCCTTCTTGAAGTTGTGACTGGTAACTTTTTAGCTGATATCTCTATTTCAGGGTCTATTGATATCTTAAAATATCTCAAACTGAACTCCTAATTTTCTTCCATCTAAACTTGTATTTCTAGCAACTTTCTCCAGACTCCAATGGCAAGTCCATCCTTTCAGTTATTCAAGACAAAAATCTCAAGGGTCATTCCTGACTTCTCCCTTTATCTAGTTTCCATCAGGAAACTCTGTTGACTATTTTTATTATTTTTTTAAATTGAGATATAATTGACATGTAACATTATTTTAGTTTCAGGTGTACAACATAATGGTTTGATATTGGTTTAAATTATGAAATGATCATCACAATAAGTCTAGTGAAATTCATCACCACAATAACTCCTTTAAAAATATACCCAGAGTCCAGCTACTTTTTATCATCTTCATTGCTTTGCCCTGGTATGAATCACCATCATTTCTCACATGGATTACTTTAAAAACCCATTTAGGGCTCTACTCCCTACTCCTCCCCCTCCCTGGGTCTGTTCTCCACACAGAATCCGAGAAAATCTAATGAAAACAGGTCAGATCATATCATGCCTCTGGTCTAAAACTTACAGTGGCTTTCCATTTCTGTCAGAAAAAAGCCCAAGTCCTGGCAGAGCTTTCACAGTCCTGACTAATCTTGAATCCATCACCTCTCTCTCCTGATCTCCTATTACCTTTTTCCTTCCTTATTCAACCTCAGCTACATTAGCCTTCTTGCTGTTCCTTGAGTAGTCCAGGCATGCTCCTGCCTGGGGTCTTAGTCCATGTCCCCTCTGCCTACAACTCTTTTTCTAGAAGTCTCCATATGGACAAAACCCTCACCTCCTTTAAGTATTTGCTCAAATGTCACCTTCTCAAGGAGGCCTGATTATCTGTTTAAAGCCACAAGTGCCTCTTTCCCCTCCCAATCTCCTTTAGTCTACTTTTCATTGTTTTCTATAGCATCTATCACTTTCTAACATACTTTATAATGACTTATTTATATGTTTATTGCTATTTCCCTTGCTAGCATGTAAGCTCCAGGGGAGCAATGATCTTTATTCTGTTTGCTGATGTATCCTAACTGTCTAGAACAATGCCTGGCTAAGTGCTGAGGAAACATTTGTTAAATGAATAAAGGAGGGAGGAAACACAATTTGTTAAAAATATAGTTCCACATAAAACTTTAAGACCACATAATATAATCCTCATTTTAACATCTCACTCACCTGTGATATTTTTAACTTCATCCACCAACACATTTAAGTCAATCTTCCCATTGGCTTTAAGATAAAAAAGCGCCAAAAAGATTTTTAGAAAAATTGTGAAACAGAAACCCCAAATTCAACCATTTAAAAACATTTTTCCTAGAAGTTTAACATAGCTCTTGCATTTTATGCTATCAAAATCCATACAGCGTAATACATGAGTCAGTTTTAAAACATTCTCCTTTCCTTCAAGACAATCTACTATTTATTAGGCTACTCTTTTCACGCATGGGTCTGAAATGTTTTGAGAGTTTAAAAATTTTGTTTAAAAATGATGTTTCCATTTTGTTAGTGCTGACTTTACCTTTGGGCTTATGATCACCTTAGCATCAAGTGATTCTTTTTTTTTTTTTTTTTTTTGATAGCACTGGGTACTTTTATTATATAGAACTTAATAATTAACAAAACGATTTCCATTTTCCTGGCACTTTGATACGAGGACTTAATAAAAGAACAATATTAAGAAGCTCCCACTGTGGAGGAAGAATGAGGTAAGGACTGCAGCCTCAAGGCCTGGCTGCAACTGCTACCTTCTCTCCTCATCAACACGTTCCAGAACAAGAAGCTGATCCTATGCACTCACAAAGTCTTTCCTTCAAAGATTTCAGAGCCCTTTACAAAGCTCCATCTGCGGTATCCAGCACTATTAATCCCATTTAGATGTTCTCCTCCTCATGTAACTGTGTCCCTCACTATCAACAGCCTCGTATAGGTCCTTTGTATTCTCTTGTGTTGCATGTAGATAACCAATATACGCCATGCAAAGTGAAAGGGTTATCAATCCGAAAGCCATTACAGGTTTGTTAGGTTTAATGAAGAGCTCTGGATTCACAGCTCAAAATAAAGTTGTTGTGCGAACCCCTCTGAGCCCTGGGTTTTGAAAGTCTTTCTCTTTGGGTGGCTCGTTTTTAAAGGCAGGAGATTCCGGTGCTGAAGACATCCTCTTGATTAATGATGATTTATTACCTGCTGCGAGGTCACCTCCCCTGCGCGTCCTCTCAGCTCCGCCTCAAGTGACTCTTTTAAAGGACAGAGTGCTGGTATGCATGCCTGGCTGTTCTTAGGTTGGCAACATGATAATCGTCATGTTGATATATTCAGTTAAATTCCCAGGTATTATGACAAAACTTTTGTTTTGCAGTACCTATTCTCAATTGAGAGACTTTTTTCATAGATGATGCACTTAATTTCTTTAGTCTATTTCTCAAAGTCTGAAGTTACTAGAGGTCAATGGATACATTTTTAGTAGATTGTAAAATTGCAAGTTTGAGAAACACTAGATTGCAATGTTAAGATAGTAGTTAAAAGATGCTATTGCTCTAATAGGCAAGATTCTGTTTGGAACCTTAAGCTGCCTACGGACATACTCATTCTCCACTTATAACTTGGTCAAGGGTGCCAGTCCATCACCACTCAAACATGTTCACACTCTTATTTTATGTGTAATAATAATCCTAAGATTGTAAATTCCCCCAAAGGGTGAGAAACCAAGCATCACTTTGTACTCCTACTATTACCTCAGAATTGGTTTAAGGGTCTGCACAAGATTGATGATCCATAAATGTTTACTTAATAATTAAGTTCCAGTAAAATGCAAATATATTATAAAGAATGAATTAGCTTTAAAACCAGTACACATATTCCAGTTTCCCAGATAAGGAAGTATTTCCTTGCTTGTTCTTTTTTACATCTTTTCAATTATGATAATCTTTTATTGGTATCCTATTATAATTTTATAACATTTATTATTATTATTATTAATATGAATACCATTATATTATGACTTTTGAACAGGATAAGGAAGAACTGTTAGTGGAGAATATTCTGTGCCTGTAAAGGACAGATCCCCTCATGTCGTTTACTTTGTATGTCTCTAATCAGCTCCACGGAGGCCCACTAGGCCCCTGTAACAGTTTTGCATTCTATCTCAAATGATTCCACAGATATACAAGGTAGTCCATAAGAATTATATTAGAATTAGTCTCACACTTTAAATCATCGTGCTTGTATCTCTTCTCATGTTTCAGAATACTTAGAAAAACAAGGCAATGACAAATATCTGCATTTATTGAACTGGTTGGTAGATTAAAAGAGCTATGAAAGGGATTAAAAAAAACAAAGAAAAAGTCATTTCTGGAAAAACTGCTTACTTCTTTTTAATGCAAAGGATCCGAAGGTCTAGAACAGTGCCTGATACATCATAAACATTCAGTTAAAGTTTATGGAATAAAAGAATGAAAGGTACTACTGATTTAGAAAAGCCCATATTCATTGACTCGGATCAATCTTGTATCTTTACTACTTCCTCAAGGGGACAGGTGTCTCTTAAAATTTCCTCATGAATTTTCCTCAGTTCTACTAGCATGAGTCTAATATATGCCAAGTTTAATTAATTACATTAAGTACTGCTATATATCTTCTTAAATTTATTAGTTCTGGTAGTTGATGGCAGTATAGCAGAGTGGCTAAGAGACAGTTTCTGGAGCCAGATTGCCTGTCCACCACTTACTAGCTCTCTGACTTCGGGCACACTACTTGACTTCTCTGTGCCTTAGTTTCCTTATATGTAAAATGGGAGTAAAAATAGAAATTGCCTTGTAGAGTTGTTTGCAAGGTTAAATAAGACAATATATGTAAAGTGCTTAAAACAGTGCCCTGCACGTGTCAGGACCATGTAGTGTTGGTCATTGCTATTTAATGCTGGGTTAGCAGTAGGGATTCAAAGATTAAAATCTGAGTATTCTCTGTTAGACCCTGGCATTTCCTGTGAAGAGGGACTCTTGCCATCTATATGGGGCAGCACACTTGGTGATCCTTCCCAAGTGATAGCCACTGGGCCCAGTTTGGTACCTATGCTAAAGGCCTCACTCTTTCTTTTTCTTTTTTTCATATACATCCTATCTTCAGTCATTCTAGGTCTGAGACTAGCCTCAAGTCCAAAGTTTGGCTAAAGGATCTATTGACACTCAAAACTCTCACCATCAACTGGTAGGCAGTCCTTCAGTTCCTGGATTTCTTTCTCCTTGAGATCAATTCCCATGTTTTTCAAGAAAGTGTCCACCTTATTTGGAGACACCTTCACCCCTTAGGAAAGAAAGGGATGGGATATGAAAAATATTTGTAAGAGTGGGTTATTATAGATCATGCCTAGGCATCAGTACTACATAGACAATGAAGAGCAAAGAACAATTAAACCATTCAAGTAAATGTGGTTTTGGTATCTAAGTCAGGAATTTCTAAACCCTGATCTGTGGGATTCTTTTAGGACTTTTAGGAAAATATTTAAGAGAAGAAAGTGAGTAGTTAAGGGTATTTGTAAGTCATGGCAAAGACTAAAATCAGCCTTTATACATGTGTTTGCACAGAAGAATTCAAACTTGCTAAATTAATGGAGAATTATAAATCCATCCATCCATCCACCAATCCATTCAGCCAGCCATCCATTGAGCCAGATAGACAGCCAATCCATGGAATTTACTTTATCATAATCCACTGGGAAACATTTAAGAACATATGTTTCTAGATACTATCTCTGGAAATTCAAGATCGATATGACTGGGAAGGGGCCTAATGATTTGAATGCTTTACTTTTCCCCCTTGTGATTCTGATGTACAGCTTTATTTGGGAACCACTGCTTTTGGGTTACTGTATTTAAACCATTTTAGTGACTGCAGTATGCCTATATATAGAATATCTATAGATATAAAGAATATATAAGAACACATATATAACATATAAAGAATAAACACTGACTTAACAGATAGTTGGGACAGTTGGATTAATAACCTGAAAATTATAAAATAGGATGAGTTTTTTAAAATAAAAGAAAAGCTTGATGACTTGTTTTACTTGCCTTTTCATCATACTTCTTACTCACCTTCAAGAGACTTTAACTCTTTCATCAATCTGTTCACATACATCTTTCCTTTGTCTGTAAGAAAGGGAAAAATGCAAGTTTCGGGCAGTAGTGTTGATATTTAAATGAAACATGCGTAAGTTCAGAAACATAGACTTTTAAATGTTTTATTCTAAAATTTATATTATTTCACTTCCAAGAATAAAACTTAAGAGTGGAAACAACTCTCAATTTGGTGAAATCATTTTGTTGATGGGGGCCAGGGTGGGGGGGATGAAACATTCCTTAAATAGGGAGTATTAGTTACAAAAGTCCACATACTTAACATTCCTTAAAGGCCACTGTGATTTTTCCCCCCCACTGTGATATTTTTAATGCTTACCATCGACTGGAAGCTTGTTTTGTAGTTCCATGCCTTTATCTTCTGTGAGCGTAATCCCCATATTTCCCAGAAAAGTTTCCAGGTTACTCATATCAATCTTCTCACCTTTAAAAAGTAAAAGATGGTAATGGTTGAAAATCTGAAGAATGATGATCCTATATTATAAAAAATGCCCATATGGCATTTGTTGATTAAATAATGAAGTAAACCTGACAAGAATGCCAGCTAAGACATAAACTTAGAGCTTTTTGGCTAAAACAGTGATGATCAAATTTTAAGCTGGGAGTCAGCAGATGCAAACATTCACCAGTATATGGGTAGAGTGAGAGAACAATCTATAAGGAAAATAATGCTGTTGAAATATAATTTTGTGCAAACATTAAAATCTTGGTTTTGCAGAGTCTTCTTAATTATATATCATGGAACCATACAGGGCTTTTCTCCAAGGGCTTCTTTCTTAACCCAGACTGGCTCTCTGTCCTGCCTCAGGGATTTGGTGGGCTTAGTTTCTTCTCTTCTTGGCAGCTACTACCACCCAGTATACTTTTTGGGCTTCCCTAAGGGTGGCTATGAAATTAGATGCAGTCTTCCAAGCTCACTTCTTTTCAGTGTCCCAGGAAAACTAACACACAGATATTTTTATTCTTAGGGCTATAATATAAAGTGCTACAGTGAGACAGACAAGGGAACACCAGACTATCCCAAAATGGGTAAGACACAAAGCTAACAAGTTTTGTTTGGTAATGGATTTGGTTTTAGTTCCTGGTTAGAAGGGTGGGAATCACCACTTATCCTTGCCCCCTGTAGCCATTTCCCAATCTGCTTGTGGGATGGCTGTGTGAAACTTTCCTTCACAATGGCTCTTCCCTCTAGCTTGAAGATGCGGTTTAGCAACAAAAACAACAAAATGGTAATTATGTGAGGTGAAGAATGTATTAACTAACCATATTGTGGTAAACATTCTCAGATACATATGTATATCAAATCATCATGTTGTATACCTTAAACTTACACAATGTTATATATCAATTATATCCCAATAAAGCTGGGGTGGGGAGGATGATACTCTCTAGGTAGGCAGTTTGGACCTCCTAATCATGTCCAATTCCAGAAAAAGAAAACTTTTGCTTTTAGTCCTTTGGAACCATACTGCTGTGCTTCCATTGGGAGGATAATATCTGGGGAGTTAGCCAGTCTTCTGCACAAGTGTCTGGGAGGAAATGTGCACAACGGTTGTTCTCTCCCAATTGCTTCAGACTTCTTCTGTGATGCCTTGGACTAGTGGAGCTTCTGATATCCCGTCTCCCCCCACCCCCCGCCACCCCGCCCGCCCCTGGTAACCAGCCAAGGGAATGACTTTTCAGATGCAACAGAGCAATTTTCTAGTCTGCTACCTTGATCACATTTTGACAGACATGAGCCTTCTACCTCAAGATTATCAGTCTAACCACACCTTTTATCTGTATCATTCCCAATCTTCAAAATGGAAGCCCACAAAATTTTATATCCTCTCTAATGTATTCTGTGTTCTACCGCTCTGATTTTTCTTTCCATTGTTAGCTTTGTTTTCACCTTCCCATAGTGTCCTCTCAGAGTCATATTTTATTAAATATGAATTTCTCTATATCTTCATTCTCTTTACAGACTCTTATCTTCTTTCCTAACTGAACTTTGCCTGTTGCTGATATTTTCCTTTTTTCTTTTCTTTTTTTTCCTTTGAGAGAAAGCTGCTCTTTTTAAAAAATTTTTATTGTTATGTTAATCACCATACATTACATCATTAGTTCTTGATGTAGTGTTCCATGATTCATTGTTTGTGCATAACACCCAGTGCTCCATGCAGACTGTGCCCTCTTTAATACCCATCACCAGGCTAACCCATCCCCCCAACCTCCTCCCCTCTAGAACCCTCAGTTTGTTTTTCAGAGTCCATCGTCTCTCATGGTTCGTCTCCCCCTCCGACTTACTCCCCTTCATTCTTCCCCTCCTGCTATCTTCTTTTTTTTCTTTTTTCTTAACATATGTTGTATTATTTGTTTCAGAAGTACAGATCTGTGATTCAACAGTCTTGCACAATTCACAGCGCTCACCATAGCACATACCCTCCCCAAAGTCTATCACCCAGCCACCCCATCCCTCCCACCCCCC